TATATATATATATATATATATATATATATATATATATTATATACGTATGCATACATCTATTAGACATCAATAATATGCCACTATATATATATTTTACGCACATTGTTTATACCTCAAAGAAATATCTATTAGCTGTAAATTGTACATTATTCCATACACATTTTATATATGTATTTTATATGTATTATGGATTTGTGCTTATATACATATATTATTTAACATTACATTTACATATATTATACATATAGATAACATCTTCAATAGACATAGATGTTCCATAGATTTATAGATTTATTATATACGTCTATGAGATATTTTGTTCTATGTGGGTTCTGCACTTTTCATTCAACAGCAGTATTATTTTCAAATAAGTATTGCAACTCGAGCATGATTATATAACCATAAGTTGCAAAAATGTGTTCAACTATCTCATTTTAAAGTTATGTCAAACTTATAGATCTATTATATATAATATTCTATACTTATTACACAGTAAAAAAAGAAATGCAACTAAACTACGATAATATCGCCATAAGTTACTATAAAAATTAAGTTCAGTATGATGTTTAGAGGTTATGTTACATCTTAGAACTATAATATTTTGCTATTGTTACTATTTTTCGAAAGTATAAACCTCAATCAACAAGAGCGTGAAAGAATAATCGGGTATGTGACAAACACGAATAAAAACTAAAAATTTTACGAAAAACCTGAAAATTTCCGCCATTTTGGATTTTTTTTTGTTATATCGTGGTATATTGCGATTTAATTTAATTTAAATCATATTTTAATACTACTGATCACGCAAATGCAAGTGGGTGATAAATAATCTGAAAAAGATATCTGATAAAAACAGAAATTTTCTTTAAAAAGCCGCCATATTGAATGCGCCATAATGAATTTTTTTATTTGCATAGCACCATATTTTAGCTAAAGACACTATGCCATCAGATCAAGACAACTAGCACGATTCTATGACAGGATCATGCCGAAAAGTAAGATACAAGCAAACTATATTCTATTTTTTTTTTTAATTTTTTGGCATTTCAGCCGCCATATTGAAAAAATGGCGCGTGATAGCAAAAAATGGACTTCAGATTCGGAAAGGGCATGTCTTACATCTATAGGGTATCGAGTGCTGGAAAGATCTATAGACGTTTTCTGCCAAAATTATTGCAATAAAGAAAAAACAAAATTTAAGTCATTTTGGGGTGAAATGGGTTAAATGGAATTTATAAACTCAGATTAAAATCTAATCGACGTTGGTAGAAACAAACATTAGTGGATCATATTTCCTGTAAGAGCAAAGTATATTTAAAATTACTTAAAGACATAGCTTTATTAATTACTATATCTTCAATTGTTAATTATTCAGGAACTATATACAGGGTGAGGCACTTAAAACAAACCACCTAAATACCTTGGCCACTTGTAGCTACAGAAGAAAATATTTCAGACAAAAGTTACTTGATTTGAAGAGGGGAATAATGTCATGTAGGTAGTTTCTTCATAAGTAAAGGAGTAGTAGAGATATAAAGGTCAACTTCGTTATTTTAAATGAACTGATATATTTTATTATTTGTGCTTTTAATAGTGCATTTAAAGACGCATATAATGATAATACGAATAATACTATAAACAGAAATACTTCAAGGAATTAATCAAATTCTGTTATATCAAATGTTCAAAATGGTTCAAACCTTGAGCATTGATACATGCTGTAAAGCGAATCTATGCGGACAATACTACACGTCAAATTTCATCTGGATTCATCGCAGAACAAGTTCATGTTATACGGTCTTTCATGTTTTCAGGGGTCGTCGGTACTTCTTTGTACACTTGTTCTTTTAACTTTCCCCACAAGTAGAAGTCCATAGATGTTAAGTCTGGTGAAGCAGGCTATTTTGTGTTATTCATCGATATTCAAGATTACTATTTTGAATATTTGATATAACAGAATTTGATCAATTCCTTGAAATATTTTTGTTTATAGTATTATTTATATTATACAATTGTATGCGTCTTTAAACGCACTATTAAAAAGCAAATAATAAAATATATCAGTTCCTTTAAAATAACGAAGTTAACCTTCATATCTCCACTACTCCTCCACTTATGAACAAACTATTTACATGATATTATTCCCCTCTTCAAATCAAGCAACTTTTGTCTAAAATATTTTCTTCTATCGCTACAAGTGGTCGAGGTATTCAGGTTGTCTGTTTTAAGTGCCTCACCGTGTGCGTACGTGCGTGCGTGCGTGCGTGCGTGCGTGTGCGTGTGTTGAATATTTTTATTAAGATCAGTCCCAAAAAACAAACTTACATAATTGTATTAAAAAATAAATAAATTATATAAATGAATAATAAAAGTTATATTTTAAAGTTGTTTTAAAACTTATTGTAAATTATATAATTCTGTATGACACTATATAAAAATATATTATTCACGGATATTTTTTTTAATATTATATTTATACTAGAAAATTTGCATTTTACAGACAGTATGAATAACTTACCAGATGCAATATGTGCTGTTGGATTGTAGACACGTTGCGGATTAGTAATAGACTGTGCGAATTCATAGGAGATAAAATGAATAGTTTGAAAAGGCACATTCATGGCCAATTGAGTCGTATAGCTTCTGTAGAATGCAGATATTCCTTCCTTTTGATATACATTCTGTATACAATTTAGTACACCTCTATAGGGAGAGTTGTACATCTGCAACCGCTGTTTAACCACTATAACAAAATCATATTAATATATTACAACGAATTCGAGTGGAAGCACTAATATGCACCAGTATACACTATATAGTATACATTATAAGGACATTTCATAGTTCTTATATTTAAGATTGTCTTAAATTCGCCTCCGAATACTCCGTAACTAGTGCAACGATCTGTATAGCATCTAAAGATAAATATAAGATATTAAATGTAAGATAAAACTTTATAAATACAACTGAAATATAAGAACGGACTATGAATTGACCTGGTGTGCATTGGTGCATACTAGTGTTTCCAATCAGATTCGCCATTAGATAGATTTATACCACATCTCTTTCTATAATTTCTTAACCTGTTACTTAAGTAATCAGGAAAACCCCATATACATGTAACTAAAAAGTAAGTAAAGTTGAATTCAATCTTTCTGCCTACAATAAACATGAATGTGAAATGATTTAATTATAATAATTTTAATATAATGATATAATTAAAAACAATAATTTTTATACAAATAATTTATTTAAATAATATTTTGATTAAAATATTTAATTTTTATTTTTATTTCTTGAAATATATATAAAAAGATGTAGTCTGAACAAAGAAAAATAAAGAAAAAATATTTAAAAAAACTCATTTATAAGGTAAACATATACTAACTTTTGTGTATATATTTTAGAAATTGTTTAATAACAAATAAAATTTAGTCTTGTTATTATCACTTATTTTTTAGTGTTCAGGAGACATAAAGAAATTATATTTTTATATGCGCACAATGTAAAGTAGAACACATAATGTTAACGTATAGATAGTTCAGGGTTGCTACAGAAAATCAATTTTTAAATTCCCTGACTTTTTCATGTTTTGCAGACAACAGAGGAGAATTTTCCATGGCCAACATATAACCTTCAATTTTAACATTTAGGAACAGAGATTATAGAAAAAATAACTTATATTATTAAAAGTAATACAAATTTAGTTTAGTAAGATAATTCCTAACATATATTCCTGAAAATGCACAACATTCAGGCTAATAAAAATTATATGAGTATTAGAAAAAAGAATGTAGTTATGAGACGGAAAAGAACGATTGAATGAAAAAATGCTGAATAAAATATGCTGAATAAAAATGCTGAATATAATGTTAATTATTTTATCATCATGATGCATGGACTAGCATAGATATATATACATATTCAATATAAACTAAGAAAATCTTATTTATTTTTTAAATAACATTTTAATTCCTATACCTAATTAATTTTAATTCCTATATCTATAAACTTTTAACGTTAAAATTAAAAAATAAATAAAATCCTTAGTAATCCTAGATTTAGTAAGTGTGTAGAGATTATGTATTCTTCTCTTATAACACAGAGAAGGTTACCTTAATTTCAAAAAATTGTAAGAAAAGGCTAAAATTCTAGGTTATTTTTCTCTGACATCCCGGTTTTTCATGACAAATTTAAATTCCATGATTTTTCCTGGTTTTCTAGATCTATAGCAACCCAGTAGTTTATATTGGTGCTTTTTAGATAGCAACTATATAAAGAATTCTAATACTTTTATAAAATTACTACAACTAAATATTGACGTTAAAGCAAAATAAGCATAAATAAAAGAAAAACAAAAAAATATCAGAAGATAATGTTGTAAAAATAAAAGTAAGTGTTAATTTTACTTTTTCTGTAGAAAAAAATATGTTACAAAGTTTTCATCATAAATTTTTACAAATTAACTTATATTTTCTAATCAATGTATACAAATATTGCAGGCAATTTAACTTTAAACTTTCTCTAAGTTTTTTCTAAGAATAACATTGCGAGCAAGATATTACTAGTATTACTAGTATTTAACTTTATAACGTGATTATAAAAATACATATTTAATTTTATAGAAAAATAACATTACTTATTGTCTTTCAAAGTGTTAATGATACATTATCAATCACATTCAATATATTATCTTAATATTATCTTAGAACAAACCTTCTGCTGGATTCATGACACCATCATGTAAAATTGTTGCTACACAACCAGCAGCTCCATATACAAAATGATTCATCGCAGGTCTTGTACTTTTAAACTTGTCTTTAAGACACTCGTAACAAGAAAAATATAAAGCATGTGCAGGTCCAGCTCCAAAAACTACTGCATTCACACCTCTAATTGGTCTTAATACACCTTCTTGTTGTATCATTTTGAACAACACTTTGCCTATTCCTCCTCCTCCTCCTGGGCCGGGTGTCAGTGACTGCATCCTTGTCTAAAAAGTAAGAAATTGTTATAAATTGTAAAAATTATTATCGACTATAATGAATGACAAAATCTATTTTTCACAATATCAAGTATCTTTGTGTAGTGATACTTCTCTCATGACATCATTTTATGAGATCATGAAAAGTTGTGAAGAGGTTTTAAATAGCATGACTTGCTAATAATGATAACAATGACTATCAGTTGAATTATTACAAAAAGAACTATATAATATCACATGATTATATTTAAGTAAACAAATATATGCATCTTAATTAATATTTTTGTGAAATTATGAATTATATTGATAGCTACATGCAAAATATGAAAAGAAAATAGTGGATATAACATATAGAATTTAAATGTTTGATTTTTAGAATTTCAATATTCATAAGAAAAATATCATCTAAATTGACTATGATAATTATAGTTTTTTTTTATCAATCTAGTTTTTATGTTCTCAAATTACTATACTTGTATAAATAGTATATGCAAAATTAAAACTTGGACTTAAGGAAACATAGATTGGTACAGATCATAGTTTGAAATAAAAACAAAAGTCCACTGCAACAAATCATGTTATCATAAAAAATAACATAAACATGCAGACTGAGTAGAGATTCAGTACATATTTAATATACAAATATCCTCTTGTAATACTATCTTTACTAACCACAGAGTAATTATTGTGTTAATCACTTGTATATTCCAAAAAACTTGATAACATCTTATGTCATTATATCATTGAACAATAATATATAATACATTAATACAAAGGAGTTTATCAATAAATACTGAATACATTAGTTTTATTTACTATTGGCTTCAACAAGTTCTTAAAAAATAAAATTGACTTTTATGAATTTGTTATATTTGTATTTGGGTCATAAAAATATAATTAACTTTCCTGTGTGTGTGTGTGTGTGTGTATCTCAGCAAAATACTCTTATAACACAAAATATAATTAAATTATTATTTGATAAATCAATACGTACTATTAAGAACTCTCTTTTAATTATCCACTTACATTATATGTTAAGTTATTTTGTCAGTTAGTGTACATGTATCAAAATATATACTTGGTTTTATTATAATTCAAACACCTTTCTTTCAATGCAATTTAGAATGCAGCCAATAGTCCAAGTAGTTGTCTTTGATTGAAATAATTATAAATATTAATTATAAAGTCTCATAACATTAACAAGTCTCATACAATGAAACTTGCACTACATACACAGTGAAATATTAATTGTTTGTGCAATTAGAAAATCATTTGAATGTTGAGATATTTGTAACTAAAGCTGATGCTTTTTACATATGTTCCTTAAAATTGACACACTAGTTTTAATTTTTATTTTTAATATTTTCTAAACTCCTCATGTGCTTACAATAAAAAATCACTATAATATTAGACTAATATACAGACATTGTACACAAGTTTCAAACTTACTGATCATTTTATTTTAAAAATATAGTGATGGAAAATTAATTTAATAATTTATAAGTTAATTTATAAGTTAAGGAAAGTTAATAATTTATAGTGATACTTTATATATATATATATATATATATATATATATATATATATATATATAATCACTATAAATTATTAACTTTCCTTAACTTATAAATTAACTTATAAATTATTAAATTAATTTTCCATCACTATATTTTTAAAATAAAATGATCAGTAAGTTTGAAACTTGTGTACAATGTCTGTATATTAGTCTAATATTATAGTGATTTTTTATTGTAAGCACATGGGGAGTTTAGAAAATATTAAAAATAAAAATTAAAACTAGTGTGTCAATTTTAAGGAACATATGTAAAAAGCATCAGCTTTAGTTACAAATATCTCAACATTCAAATGATTTTCTAATTGCACAAACAATTAATATTTCACTGTGTATGTAGTGCAAGTTTCATTGTATTGTTATGAGACTTTATAATTAATATTTATAATTATTTCAATCAAAAACAACTACTTGGACTATTGGCTGCATTCTAAATTGCATTGAAAGAAAGGTGTTTGAATTATAATAAAACCAAGTATATATTTTGATACATGTACACTAACTGACAAAATAACTTAACATATAATGTAAGTGGATAATTAAAAGTTCTTAATAGTACGTATTGATTTATCAAATAATAATTTAATTATATTTTATGTTATAAGAGTATACATATATATGTATATATACACACACACACACACACACACATATATATATATATATATACATGCAGGGTTCTTTACCTTCGCCCACGAAGAACATAGTGTTATCCCTTATGAAAAATTGATTGGAAAAGTTCTGAACCATTTTTGTCTTTGATGCTTAACGAAGCAGATATTCTTTAATAAATTCCAGCAAATCCGCGCCGTTCTTTAGAAGTATACACGTCTGTGAGCTGTGCGCCTGGTAGTGTGCGTGAATGCAGCGGCGGACATTCATGTACACTACCAGGCGTGCGGCTCACAGCATGTATACTTCTAAAGGACCACGCGGATTTGCTGGAATTTATTAAAGAATATCTACTTCGTTAAGCATCAAAGATAAAAATGGTTCAGGATTTTTTGATTCAATTTTTCATAAGAAATAACGTTGTGTTTCGTGGGCGGAAGTAAAAAAGTACCTTGTATTTATATATATATGTGTGTGTGTGTGTATTACTTATATATATATATATATATATATATATATATATATATATATATATATATATTACTTGTTTCTATTTTTTTGTATATGTATTTTTAATCATAAGAAAAATAAAAGCTATTATTTTCATATTTATAATATTGTATATCTCAATTTTTCATTTTAAATTAACATTTATGATTTAGATAGTGAAATAAATGTATAGCAATGTAATTTTGTTCTATAATTTCAGTGGCTCCGTTGATATGCTACTGAGAATATAATTCTTAACAATACAACTACTTTAATTCCTTAAAGTTCTTTTTTTTGGACCATTTGCTACATTTAAAATTGATCAAGAAAGTTTTTAAATCATATTAGAATTAAATGTACATTTGAAGCCATCATAAAAATATATTACAAAAAAAAATAAAAGTCTATAGGATAAAATATAATTGCTTTCGTTTCTTTATCATAGTTACTAAAAAAATATATCAACAACTATAAAACATACAGATTAATTAAGTTATACAATCTCTATAAACTCTATCATCTTATATAATCACACAATTGTCTTTTTTCAGAATATAGAGTTACCAGAGCTAAAATGCTGAAAAATGTTGAAGTAATATTTTTGACAATATGAGATTCTTACAAATCATTATTCAAATAATTAATTTACAATACAGTTAGACTCAACTCTCTATTGTATGTACATTTGTTTGCAATAGATAAATAATAATGATAAAGTATTCTGTGCTAAACAGTAAATTCCAAGAAAACATGAAGAGATGTTATGCCGAATATCATGGGAATTTCTGAAGTGGGAATTCCGCTTATTATACGATGACGCGCCTAGGACGCAGATTTTTATACCCGTGAAATTCTATTATATGATGTTCCACGGTAATCATCAAACGTCGCAGAAGCAATGCCACTGGATGGAACGTTAGTATTCAGATAAAATGAGGTAAGATAAAAATAATGTCAGGAGAGGAAAAGTAAAAAAGAAGAAATGAGAGGAGAGGAAGAAAAGGATAAGAGAGGAGACGAGAAGGAGGAGAGGAGCGAAGAAGAGAGGAGAGGAGCGAAGAGGAGAGAAGAAAGGAGAGGTTAGGTAAAGTGGGGTGAGATGAGGTTATGTGTGAAGGCCATCGCACGATAGGTACCGGAAAATCGTGTACACGAAGAATAGCATGGCATTACCTTAACACTGTCGAAAGGATACATAATACAATGCTCCATAATCCCAGCCACGGCACCGGCCGTCATATGTACAGCCGCTGAGGTGGTCGGCAAACTCTCGTACGCGTCCTTACTCATTATTACGACACAACAGCGCACTCAGTCGAAAACGCGATCGGATCACCACGATGTCTCCCTCTATTTTCTTTCCCTCTCCTCATCCACCCTTTCCTCCTTACTCCTACTCTCTCGATTGTTTTTCTTTTTCCTTTTATCTTGTGTACTGGCCAAACACCTTGCGATGCCGCACAAACTGGATGTCCATTGGGTGCTTGTTTAATATCTATATAATCCAGCAGATAAAAATAAAAGTAAAATTGAGTTACGCGTATTTACGATAAAACGTTTCACGGACAGAACGAACGGATGGGTCGGTGAACACGCACGTTATATGCACGTCGATATGTGATCGCACACGTTGATCGTTTCTTAGTGTAACCACATTGAAATCGAAGTTCAGTCATTTTTTAACTCCCGTCGACGTATAATATTCCCTTTTGCTTCCTTCCGTTCTTTTTCCGTTTATTTGTCTACTAAATATATTGTTGTAGGAATAGTACGTACAAAATTGAATTTGCGTTTAATCAATTGCTGATTACAAAAAGAAGTGCACTATAAAAAATTACATTCGTGAAAAATGTGATATGGACTTCGAACGAGATGATATAAAACTAGCAAGATTAGAGTCGAATACACGTGCTACGCATGCGTTACGCGCAACACGTGGCCAATAACAGCGTTCCTAGGGCTGCGTTCCGAAATTCACTGCCAGTACTGAAATTCTATGGCCGGTATTCATAATTAAATCTTAAGGATGCCGTCCCATTGAGCACGGATCGGAACGCCGGATCGGATTTCTTACTATAATAAGCGTTCCGTTCTCTAGTTCCGTTCCGTAAAAGTTTCCTCTACCAGTCCCATGTAGCAAAAACGGAACGGATTTCTAGTTATAAAATATATTTCACTCTTCAATTAAATATTTCAGAATATTCATGACAATGTTATCGGCAAGATAATTGCATAAATTATGTATATAATTAATTCTGTCGCGTCAAAATAACGAAATATTGACGAATTAATCATATTTAGTTGCGGGTGTATATCAGTTGAACACGGGGCAATTGGACACAATCCAATCACAAGTCGCTGTTCCAAGGGAATGTCTCTAATCACACGGTGCTGTGATTGGCTGTGTCCAAATGCACCGTGTCCAAGTGCACCGCTCCCTTTATTTGCGACCGACGCGCCATTCCGTTCGGTTTTTGCTACATGGGACTGGTAGAGGAAATTTTTACGGAACGGAACTAGAGAACGGAACGCTTATTATAGTAAGAAATCCGATCCGGCGTTCCGATCCGTGCTCAATGGGACGGCACCCTA